CATTCAGCAAGAAAAATGATACAGTTATTTGTATTTCAGCATTTGTGAGTTTTTGAAAAATTATTGGGAGTGAAAAAAGCTAAGACAAAGGATGACTCAGAATTCTCTTTATACGAAATGTCCAGTGTAGGCAAATCTATGGATAGAAAGTATATAATGGTTTATCTAGAGAAATACTGGTGAACCTATTCACCAGGACCACAATGGGCTGTTGATATACTTGAGTGCTCTGAAAGGTTCACCATCCCTGGCCTAGAGCATGGACGGATTGCGAAGAAATGCTGAGCACCTGCTGAGAGACTTAGGGTTTCTTTCGGCAGTGAAAAAATGGTGCTAATGGGTACAACAAATCTATGAATATACTCAAAACTATTCAATTACATACTTCAAATGAGTGAATTTTATGGTGTTGGAATTATATCTCAAAATATATGCATATATGCACTTGCTTTTTCTCCATGCAAATTATTATTTTATCTAGAATAATTATGAATAAAAACTAACCAAGACCCCACCAATTTTGTGTTACCACTGATTTTTCTCAGTAAGGGAGTCTTTCATTCTATTCTCTAAGGTTAAGTGCCTGGAAGTTTGAGAATTAAACTAACAAAAATTAATAAAGGAAAAGGTACCCAATTTTTATTTATGTATTTGTATGTTTGGGAGTTGACAGAATGAAGTGAAATTTAAAGAATCAGTCATATTCAAGAATTTATAAACCCTTTTAAACAACAAAAGAATTTGGGCTTCACAGGGCTGTCCTAGGGAAGAAGTGACTAGAAATGGAGCAATAATGGAAAATATATTATTATTAGTAGTCATAGTATCTCTTCACATCACAGCACTGGGCAAGAGACACTTCCACAGTGGGAAGTTCATTCATGGCTTTTAGACAGTAAGTGGAGAACTGAGAACTCTTTGGCACTGGTGGAGGAAGCTTGACTCAAAATAATCCTTAGGCCACAGTGATATGTTTTAGTGCAGCATAATCTGGTCACCTGCATCTTCCAGACTTCTTAGCTATAAACATGAAGCTCTTTTTTCTTTCTTATAATTCTATAGACTTGTTTATTTGTTTTTATATACTCCAATTTAAATGACAGGTGAACAAGAAACACCAGGAAATCCAGCCCTCAAAATTGCAAAGATCTATAAAATCAACCTTTAAAATTTGTATTCTGCAGTAAAAAAGAGTCAAGTACTGAAAGAAGAATATGGATGTGGAAGCATAGTTTATGTTAGAAAAAATAGGATAGAATAATAATGTTAGAAAAACTAGAATAGAATAGAATAGAATAACATGTTGTTTTTGTTGTACCTAACTTTCCTCAAAAAACTAGAAAAGTCGGAATCAGTAATTAATAATTCCAGCAACAGTTTTCAAAAGTTAAATAAGTTGGCCTATCTAACACCTTGTGGACCAAAGATAGGAAAGTCCCTATGCCTTCTCCTCAAAAAATGATTCATTGAGAGTTATGAGAAACATTTTTGTAATTATTCATAACAGGTACAGTAGAATACTTAGAAATAACCCTAATGAAATAGCCTATAAGCCACAAATAGAATACTTGAAAATTAATTCATTACTACTTATTAAAATTTTTAGGTAAATTGGAATTTAGATAGATAAATGGGTAGACAGACACACACAGAGACAAATAGGAGACACAGAAACAATACTTTTTATTATCATTCTCCAAGCTAATTTATATAGTTAATGTAGCTAATCAAAATTTCAGCATGATTTTTAAACTAAAACTCAAAAAGAATTCAGAAGAAAAACGCACTTTTCAATTTGAAAACATAAGAGCAGTAGAAACAATAGCGTACATGCATTTGATTACATAAAACTCTGATTACAAGGACCACATAGCAGAGGTACGTTATGTCTGAGAACATTCCAGTAAAACCATTTATTTATTTATTTCAGTATTTTAGGGAAGGGTCAACAGGGTGTTCAGGGTCTCACTACTAGATCAGACTCACAGTGATTCTCCTGTTTACAGCTTCCCAAGTGCTGGGATTACAGGCATGCGCCAACACACCCAGTCTCAATTGCCCTCTCAGTGCACTGCAGGGGTAGTTGGGCTGGAAAGCAGGCCTGGGGATCAAACTCCCGGCCCCTGGGCCTGCTTGCAGGCACTGTAATCCACTGAGTTATTT